ATCACTTTCTCACTAAATTTATTTAAAAATGCAAGCCACCGGAGCTATCTTTTTTTAAGAAAAGGCAAACTAATTTTTTTTATGCAATCCAGCACAGCTACCTTAATACAGTCAGTCAATAAAGTTTAGGTACAACGAATTTTTTACAATACGGGCAACTATTTTTTAAATATTTTAGTTTTCGGTAATTTTTTATAAAAATATGGTCAATTCTACAACAAAATCCCAAAAAATCAGAGTTCCAAACCTTGTGCAAAATTTAAGAAAATTCTGCAAAATTTCATTAAAATAATTCACTTTCTATTTACGCTCTCTACAAAAAGTTGAGTTTACAGTTTTTTAGCCAATTCAATTTTAATATAATGAAGTGCAAGTTCGAGGAGGCCACGACTTACCAAACAACAAAAAACAATTGCTAAATATCAATGGTAAGTCCTAGCTACCTCAAACTTGCACTTTGTTATACTAAAATTGAATGGGCTAAAAAACTGCGTACTTAACTTTTTTCTAAAGGGTGTAAATTGCAATATTTGGATGGAAATTTGCGAAGTTTTCTTTAATTTTTCATAAGGTTTGGAACTCCGATTTTTGTGGTTTTTGGTGTATAACTAACCATATTTTTATAAAAAATTTGGGAAAAATAAAATATTTAAAAAATAGTTGCCGGTATTGTAAAAACTTCGCTGTACCTAAACTTTTTTGACTGACTGTATATCTTATTTAAGTTAAGTACGACAAAAACTTTCGAAGTACTTCATATACATATAAGCTTAAAAAGAACTGAATTTATTTAAAAATCAATATGCTTAAATTTAGACAAGTAAGACAAAGTGAACTAATATTTTTACTTTTTAGCAGAACGCACTTTTGTTTTTTACTTACTACTTAAATTTTATACTACTACTACTACTAATGTGGTTTATAAATTTTAAATAAATGCGTTTAAACATTTGTGATGGTATTGTTCTTTCTTCAACCGATCGTATTGAATGTAAAAGGGAAATGTTTCGACAAGCCTGATTAGAAATATATATCTAAGGAGGTTGGGAACTACATATAAAAAATGGATGCAGGTCGAACTAGATCTCATCAGTCGAATTAGGAACTGGTTTGGAACTAAAGAAAAGGGGATGCAGAACGAACTAGATCTTATCTGTCGAATTTAGAACTGGTTCGGACCTAGAGCCAAAGGGATGCAACGGGGTACAATTGACACTTCCTAGGACATCGCAATGTTAAATTCGCCAGTCGCTAGCATGCAAAAGAGAATTAACGCGTTCTAGTCATGGTTCCAAACGCACTAGAACCGAACCAGTTCCGCACTAGTTCGTTTTCCTACAGGGAAGTTTTCGCAACAACAAGCTTTTAATTCAGAATTTTTCAGAAAGATTCTAAGTTTGCAGTTTTATAGTCCATTAAATAAAAATGCAAGTTTCTGCAATATCCCGATGATTTTTGATATTTTTTTTTCCTGACGGTGTCATACATTTTCATCCATTAAAAAATTTTCGAACACACTTTATATGGAAAAAATGCATGGAATTGAAAACTTGGAATCTCCTTAAAAATTCTGTATTCAAAGTTTGTTGTTGGGAAAACCTGCTGAATTTCTATAATTTTTGTGCAATGTTTGAAATTACGATTTTTGTACATATATTGTGTTTATTAAATTAGGAATTAGACTTTTACATAAAATCATTCGAAAAATAATCAATGAACAGAAAGGCGAAACTGGTCAAAATATCTCACTGCCATTATTTCGCATATAGGTGCATATGT